TGAATTTAAAGAGAAACCCGGATTGCGGAGAGTCCACTTCAAATCTATAGAATATAGTGGAGCTTCGGCTCGATCACACTTGTTGAGGGGAAGCCTTCGTGCACCACTGCCTCTATATCTTCCTCCCTCTCCCCCGCCCCCAACCGCCACCGACACCGCCGCCACCACCACCACTACCACCACCACCACCACCACCACCGCTACCACTACCACCACTACCGCTACTAACATTGCCTTCTGCTTCTCTTCTTCTCACGATATTCTCTCTCGCTTTAGCTTTCTCTCTTTCCCCTTCTCTTTCCTCTATGCACCTCCTTCCCACCTTTGCCTCATGGTCTATCTTCCATTCCGTACTCTACCCCCTTCGCGGCCGACCTTGACCCTATGTCGTTTCCGCATTCTGCTAATGTTATGATTTAGATGATAGTGTGAATCTAATCCGAATGTTCCATTGAAATTATTTCCCAAAGATAATAGCTTTGCTGATAAGTATCTTTCTTTGATATATTTTGTAATATTGTTTCTTGGAAAAGAATACTTGGACATCAACGTACTTGGAGGTCATTGACGGCCAAGAGATAGGAAACGAGAGCACCCAACTCTCGCTCAGTTATGTTATGTCACTTTGTCATCACCTCGCGAGATAGATATATGAGAAGCGTATGCGTTTGATGAGTGAGCTTCTCGAAGTTCTCTATGGTTAAACGTTGACTGGATAAGAGGAAGTGAGAAAGTATACGGTCGATAATTATCCGGCCGCCATAAGTGCCATGCTCGACAAAACGCCATTATTGCGCACCTTTATATGTGATGCGGATTTGCTCTTTCAAGAGTTAGATCTTATCAATATAAGAATCTCTCCTATTAAGAAAATCTCGATGAAAAGAAGAATCTCGACGTATCTCCGCCATTGAGAACGTCAGATCGATGCTAACAAGCGATACCATTATACGATACACATATTTAATAAAGGACATCTCCGTTGTAAGATCGTTTATGTATATCCAAATCCTCGTAGCTCCTTTCAATGTTTAACAGTAACACGTCACTCTGTCGAATCGAAAATATTCCTTTTATCTAACAAGTTAATCGATTCGTTAAATTATTAGTCTTATCTCTTTCTTTTATTTCCGACGATCAATAAGAAATAGTAAATCGTAAGTTGTAATGTTTTAACGTTTTAACTTCCCTTTAAGTAATACAAACATGGACTCACCTTTATCCATCCACCACGGGCGGTAACGACGACATACAACAAATACAGATCTATCTCCTTCCCACTGATTTTCGGTGACTTCCGAAATGGCGTTCTGAAATTGGAAAAAGAAATGATCAGAACGGAATGCTACAATGGCAATGTGCAAACTTATATAAGGTATATTTATCATTTTAATGTATTATCCATTTCTTATAAATAATAAGTAATCTACATACAAGATGACCTACATTTCTGTACGAACGTCATTTGTAAGTCTAACGAGAGAACTTTCTTAGAACATTATTAGATTTATCGAAAGAGATTTTATTTCTTTAATCTTTATTACAAAAAGGAAAGAGGAAAAAAAGAAATTTTCTTACGCAGTACCGTTCAAGAAACAATCAAATATTTCACCTTAGAGTGAGATAAATTCAAAATGGAATGAAAAACGTCAACGGCATCGGGGATTTATTTAATCGCGCATAAATAAGTCATTCCCATACTCTCATTGACATCTAAAAATAATGAAAACATCTAACGAACTAATAGTCACAAAATGAAAAAATTTACAAAAAAAATTATATAAATAATATATAAAAAAATATACAGTGTATCGAATAAAATAGAAAAATATAAAGTACATCGAATGATAATTGAGATTCGAATAAGGAATAATCACGTTTAATTCCAAGTATACATAATTTGGGAAAATTTTTAAGAAAGAACAAAAGACTGCTTGAACACGACATCGTACTATGACTTAAGAATAAATGACAAAGAATGACACTATGTAAAATAAAAGAACCAAAGATTCACACAACCTGAAGGCAACATAAAGTAAACAAAGAAATCTGTACGATGGACACGGCTCGACGTTTTAAAATTCCCGCACATAACCTCAACTTTCTTACGTTGCATGTTTCGATCCGAATGCCAGCCGCTTGGTATGTTTCTCTCGTACGTAATCGAAAACTAATTCTAATTGAGAAAAAAAAAGTGAATATGCCGATATCTAAGAAAGAAAAAATTAAAATAAATGAAAGAAAATTAAAAGGAAGACAAAGTAGAAGAAGGTAAGTGACCGAGAAACAGCGACGGTGTGAAGTAAGGTACAAGTATGAGACATCCAAAATGTGAGCGAGCAAGAAAGAAAAAAGATACAGCGATAGCAAAAGCAAGAGAAAGAAAAAGAAAAAGTAAAAAAAAAAAGAGAAAAGAGAAAGAGAAAGAAAAAAATAAGAGAAGAGTAATTTACCCTCTGGTTTCGTGGAAATGCCGGAGGTCCTTCATGAAGTTTTCCCTCTCCCTCTCGTAGGTGACGGGGTCCTTGTCGAGGATCTTGGCCATGATCACGGATACGATGACAGTGTAAACGGCTCTCTGGCGTGCTAATCAGGGTGCTCTCCGGAATTACAACAGGGCGGCACGTAGGGGCACCGGGCAGCAGGGTAGAGTAAAAAGGAGGTTCGGATGAGCATGCATGGGAGTACATTTACGCGAAGACGAATGCCCTGGTGTTGTGATGGTGTTTGTTGTAGGTGCTAGTGGTGGTAGTAGTGGTGGTGATGTTGGTGTTGCTGCTGCTGCTGCTGCTATCGCAGCTGCTCTTGCTGGTGCAAAGCCGAAGAGCTGACGACGACGGTAGCGTAGGTGATAATCGGTAGCGATGATGATGCTGTCGACAAGGACGAGGACAGTGATACTGGGACAACGAGGACGACCACGGGTCGACACGGGGTCGCGACCCGTTCCCGACAACATCGGGTCGTCTTGTCCTGGCCCCGGAGTATCGGCCGGTAGCCTTTCTCTCTCTCGTTCTCCTCTCTCTCTCTCTCTCTCGCTCGTATGCTCCCTTCTCTCTTGTCCGTCCCGTATCCGTAGAGCGCGCGCGAAAGGCGCGAACGGAGAAAAAAACACGATGGACAACGGTGAACAACGGCAAACAGCGATGACGATGACGATGACGACAACAACGATGACGACGACGATGATAATGATACGGCGAAGATGATCGTGGTATTAACGACTTTGATGATAGCAGCAATGGTGCGGTGGCGGCGGCTTTTCTCTTCCGTACCGCCGCCCCCGGTGCTCATATGAGAGAGACGCGTACTCGATGCACCGGACTGATCGCAGGCGTGGAGAAAAAAACGGTGGGTGGAGACGTTTCTAACCACCGTGTGGACACAGAGAGAATAATAGTAGTAGTTTATCACCGCGTGCCTATACGAAAGAACGAGCTAAGAGCGCGCGAGTTTAATGCAATACGCCGCTCGAGAGGAGAGACGTTACTACTACTCTACAGTGGCGGCAGCAGGCACGTCTCGTAATGTAACACACAACGCGTTTTCGCGGCGCACCGTACTGAGCTTCTTTCTCTCTCCCTCCTTTTTCTTTCTCTCCCTCTCTCTCTCTCTCTCTCTCTCTCTCTCTCTCTCGGATTCTCTATTTCTCCTGTACCCGTTCTCACTCACTCCCTTTCTCGCGGGGCAGAGAGGCACCCCGCGCGATCAACGACGCGACTCGTCGTCGCTCGTTGGTGGCCGCGCGGATCGATTCACCTGTCACTTGTCAAGTTAAGGCGAACGTTTAAGATTCGTCGTCGCGCCACGACGCACACCACTCTCTCTCCGCTGCTCGTCGCGCACTAACAACAAAAGCCAGTGAGAATGGCAACAGCAACGACACGAAAGAGTCGAAGAGAACGGTCGCCTCGCGGCTATCCCACACGCACCACGTTCTTTGCGTTCACGTTTGCAACGCGATAACGGCGCCCAGAATGAAAACGGCGAGTCAACAACGAGTCAGACGGCAGTGTCGAGAATCGGATAAACCAAAAGAAGCGGCAACTATTTGGTCGCGCGCTCCTACGCGAACCGACTCCCAGAGCGCGTTTCCCCTGCGTAGCGGCGCGTTACGAACGGCGCTTGACGTGCGCCCGTATATCAAAATGGCGTCCCGTTCTGCCTGGCATCCATTGGCGAAGCCACGGCCGATTTCCCCGTACGGCCACTCTCCCCCTCCTCACACCCTTCCCTCGACCCCACTGGATCCTCTGTCCCACTCTTCCTCTTTACCTCGCGCTTTTACTCTATCTGTCTTTCTCTCACTCTCGGCGTAGCCTCATCGGCGATATGACACGACGTCGACAACGACGACGGCGGCGGCGGCGACGACGACGACGGCGGCGACGACGACGATGACGACGTCGCGCGACGCACGTACCGCACCGCACTGCACCGCACTGCACTCTATCGCTGCACCGCACGCACACCGCACGGCTCAGCACGTTTCGACACACCTCTCTCCCCCCTCCTAGCACGCTCTCTCTCTCGCGCTCTCTTTCTCTTTCTCTCAAAGCTAGTCATATACTCGCCGCGCGCGCGACTCTTCGCCACCTTCTCCTCCTCCGCCACCTCCTCTCAGTGCTTTGCTCTCGCACTACACTGCTACGCGGAACGTCTTCGCGTCATTCCGGTGAAATCGTGACACCACCCGATATATATCGGTCACCGTTGCGATGCTTCCGCGATGTGTACCGCCTTTTTTCGTTCGTGACTCGAGACCTCGAGGAAAATCCCGGCTCACGCAGTATTTTTACTTTCAAAATGGATGGGGCCCCCCTCTGAGGAGCGGCGCACGGTTTGAATTGACGCTAAAGAACGCCGTTAGAGGCGCCACACATTGCACTATTCTCCCGCCATCTACTGGCCTCATCTTTTTCAGCATTTGCAATTTCTTCAATGAGATTCGCTTGCGATTGGCGCTTGATAAAGGTTACTTCTGATTGTTCGATTCTAAAACAATCGGATTGGATCTTGTAAATGATCGTTATTGGTTGAATTATCGAATGTTTATCGACAAAAGATCAATGATTGTTTGCGATTTGTCTTTTAGTCAGATAATTATGGCCTTAAATTGTGCACATACAATTCATTGCTAAATGTTACAAAAAGATAATTAACAAAAATCGATTTTAAATATTTTATGTAATTGACGATATTTTATATTTTTTCCAACTGCCATGAAATATTTTATTTAACTTAAATGGTAAATATAATATGGTGTAATAACGAAGCAATAAATATTAAATCAAATCAAATATTTCTAAACGTATGATCATTCTAGACGTATGTTAATTGAAATTGTTTTAATGAATATAATTTATGTTTAATTTCATAAATAAATTTCTGTAATCCATTATAGATTATATTGTGTTAATTTGATAATTGGAACATCTTTGGATCATTGTATTTACATTTTTATTACATCGTAAACATCGTTTCATATCGATACAGGTAATATTTTATTAAATATTCAAATAGAAATGTATACAATAAAATTTATATATAACATCATCTGTTATACATGATACGAAGATAATTTTTTTGCTTATTTTAGAAAGATATAAATCTGGGGATTGATTAGTGTACATATCTATAAGGCTATACATTTTACATATACCGATTATGTATTTTTAAAACTTATTTTATCTTGTTTGAAACTTTAATTTTTTAATTATATGACAGAAATGACATATAAGCGTAAAAAATACCACAGAGGAGATACACATTTGAAAAAAGGATGGAAAACTAAAAGAAGAACGAAAGATTTGGATGAGGTAACAACATTTTGTACATAACCTCTGTGAACACGTGTCTTTCGTTCATATCTTTTCTGTATGTTGATTTATGAGTCTTTTCATGAAATTAAATATTCTTTTATACTAGATTGATGAAGATTTGAAAGAGCAGAATGTGAAACAATTATTACATCAAGAAGTGGATTTAGATAAGCCAGGAGCTGCACAACATTATTGTGTACATTGCGCGTAAGTCTGGTTAAAAGTTACTTTACGGAGAATATAACCTTCAAATTAGTATAATAGTGTAACACGTAAAGAAAAAAATTTGATTGATTTAATTTTGTTGCAGGAGATATTTTATAAACCAAACTGCTTTGCATAGCCATTTTACAACAAAGGTACATAAACGTAGGTTAAAAGCTCTTGAATTAGAACCTTATAATATTGAAGAATCTGAAAGAGCTGCTGGAAAAGGAAGTTATATAGCACCACAAAAAAGAGAAATAGAAACTTTAACTGTAGATAATGATACAAACACAATATCACAATCTAACCTAGAAAAAATGGATAGCTAAGTGACATTTGATATATATTATTTACATGATTGTGGTAATTATAAAATATTAAGTTTTTTTGAAAAAAGCGTATGTTTTAATGCGTGATATATACATTTTTGATAATGGCAAGCAAATTTATAATACAATATGCCATTAATTACAACTTGAATCATTTAAATCATAATTTTTTAAAAAATATTTTCTATGTAACAAACAGAAAGTATGCATCAACACTATATATTTCTGGTAGAAACGCCAACAAAACTTTTTCATTTATTTCACCTTATTTAGACTTTGATGAACGTTTTGATGATATCGATAAATTGCAGAGAGAATTAAAATTGCGTAAACTTAATATGGATGCAATAGAAATGAAAAAAGCATGGGACTTTTATAAAACTATTGAAGCAAATAATATAACTCTAGAAATTAGAAGGAAAGAGGTTTCATCAGAAATAATATCATTACGAGAAAAGAAAGAAAAAACTTCTGAAGATGAGCAACAATTAGCAAACTTACTTTTGCAGGCTAAAATAATTAAGCAAGATATAAAAGCTGTTAAAGAATTGCAATGGGATCTAGATGAAAGTATTATAGAAAAATTGTTAAAGTTACCAAATAAATTACATGAAAGAACACCACCAGAAACACCTGTAATATTACAAAATATTGGAAGGTTATGTGTTTTACCAGAAAATAATAGAAAAAGTCATATTGAAATAGGGAAATTACTTAATCTAATTGAATATAAAAATCCAATGACTTATTATTTATTAAATGATGCAGCTTTATTTGAATACAGATTATTAAATTTAGCTGGAAAAATACTTAGTGATAACAATTTAATCAGGATTACAGGATCAGATTTTTGTCGTAGTATATTAGTTGAAGGTTCTAGTTTAAATCACGAAGATCCTATAGAGACTTTTATATTAGAAAATACTAATGAATTCGATAGAGATTTATTAAATCATATGCATTTAGTTGGTGGGGCAAGTTTAACATCTATGCTAGGAATTCATGCAAAACAGTTAATAATGCCACAATATTTTCCAATAAAATATTATTCAGTTGGTAGACAATATAAACCGATTCCTAAAGAAACCACATTATCTGGTTTATTTACTGTTTGTCAAGCATCGGCTATACATATCTTCTTAATGATAAACGATACAGAATCTATAAGATGCACAACCGAATTTGAAAAGATGTTAGAAATTATTTGTGAATTTTATAATAATATTACGGATCATTATCGGGTCGTTATGCGATCGGCACCAGAATTACAAATATGTGAAGAAATGAGAATATCTTTTGAATTATGGTCATCTTTCTCTGAACAATACATCGAAGTTGGCCATATTTCAATGTATGGCAAATATTTTAGTAAGAGATTATTAATAGGATATGAAACAACAGAAGGTAAAGAATTTCCTTCGATCATATCTGGTACAATGCTCTCTGTACCTCGAATATTAGGATGTTTGCTGGAAGAAAATCCTAACAAACTTATAATACCTTGAAAAAATCTTTGAATAAATAGATATTTATCATCCAATAGATACAGATTAAATTAAAAAGAAACCATTTTAAATAATTAAGATATTGGCACCTAGAAAGTATGAAATTATTCATTATATGTTATATTGTAATTAAATGTAAAAGAAAATAAAATTTATTAGGAAATTAACATAAGACTGCTCATTATTGCCTTCCATGCGAAGTGTATGTGACTTCAGCGACAAATGTAGACAAAATATGAACTACGAGTGCAAGTTGAGAATACTGACTCCATCATGCGCTTATCAGATTCGTTTCACAAGTTTATAGAAAATAATAAATATAATTGATACATATAATAATTATGTATAATAAATAAATAATAAATTTGTGACAGAAAACAAAATTTTGTTGAATGTTTTGTTAAAAATAATGAATACTTATATATTAAATATATTTATTAATTATTATTATAGTAGATACCGAAACATATTTTGATTTTTATAAAAAATAATATATAATATATAAGTATATATTCAATAATTATTATTTTTGACAAAATAATTAATAAAATCTTATTTTTAATTACAAATTTATACATTTTATACATATTTGTCATTAAACGAAATTAAACCGGTGCTATATCTTATCTAATATAAATCACTGTGAAGCTCATGCCAGATACTAATGAAGGAAATAAACATGAGAAATTGGATATCGTAAGTTTATTCTAATAATACTTTACTAATCATCAAGGAAGGAAGAACTTAAAAAATTTCAGATTCGAATGTAAAAAATATATAAAAACATTACTTACTTCTTATGTTAACACTTACATATTACGTATTTCTAATTATTTATCAACATAAAATATACTTTTATAATTATATACGTTTTACTGTTATATTCCGAGAATTTTGAAAAATGAAAAGATTTTTTTTTATTAAGTTTTAAAAATGTATAATAGATTCATAAAATTTACTTTTCCCAGCTCTAAATATTGTTTCTATTATTCTGTATTTTGACATCTATCAATAAATTTTTTAAACATTTTTAATATCAGGCTTCTCTGTATGAGGATTGTGAAGCGCATTTCTTTGTGTTTGAAATAAATCAGAAAATCTAAGCATTAATTTACGCATGCAATCAAACAAATATTCATCTACTTTACGGAAACAAAACACATACACCATTCAAGCGTGATATAAAAATCAGTAGTGGGGATACGAGCTTCTTCTCTTTTGCTGCACATTTTAAGGAGTGCCACTGTACGAAACTTTTTCCTCGCGAAAAATGTTGAAAACAGTGTTTATGTCAACAATGAATTTAAACATAATTTTTGGTCGATTTTTACGAATAAGTTCTTATTTTAAAGATGAAGATTTAAGCGATGACATGGCTTTTCTAAATTTTTTAAAAAACTTTATTTTTATGCATAAACGATTCTATTAGAAACATTATTTTTTGACATGAGTTTAAAAAAAAAAAAACAAAACTTATTCAAAAATTTTAAAAAGCCATATAATCGTTTAAATATTCATCTTTAAAATGCAATCTTCTTTATCAAAAACGGTTAAGAATTGCAACTGGATTCATTGTTGGCGTTAACCATTATAAAGCCAGGGATAATGTGAACAGTCATAACAAATGATTTTATGTTTGTGTATGTTTATCTGTAATTGTGTGTGTAATCATAATTTTTATAAGTCATAACTACGACCGATCATAATACGAAGATGAGAAGAAAAAAGTTATTTTATATCGAAATAAAAAAAATATTTTATTTGTAACATCCAATAAAATAAAAATTTACATATCCAAGAAGGATTTAATTTGCTTTAAATGATGGACCAATTAGAAAATTCGAAAATGCCGCCTTATCTCATACCTCCTTTTTTATATATCTTTGTGTGTGAAGAATATGTTGATAGATATCTCAGAAGAGAAAAATCCTTGGTTTGGAGGGCTCTCAAAGAGGGCTCTTATTATTTATTGTAGCAAACGTTTACCGTTTAATAAGAACGTATAAGGACTGTACATCTGACAGAATATATGATGAAAATATAACATCTGTGAGTAAAACTTTAAAAATATTAAGGTTTTATTTTAGTCATATGACCATTGGATATATAGATAAGGTTTATAATGGTTAAACTGACTATTTTGTTTTCAAAAGACAAGATATAATATAAGTTATTACACCGCAAATAGAAAAAATCAAATTTTTTATAGAATTAGTTAAATTCTTTATAGATATTAGCATTCCTGTAAAAAAGTTGTTACGATTTATTCAACAACAGCTTGTGAAACTACCAGAACATGATAAAAGATTATATATGGTCAAAAACTTATAAACATTATTTATCAAGGGAAAAAAATTATGCACTTATAAAATGATATAATTTTTAATGAACTAACTTACTTATTAAGACTTATATTAATATATGAAAAAATTATTATACTTAAAATGTTTTAAACAAAGACAATAATTTATTTCACTATTTTTTAATAATTATAATAATGAATGTTCATTAAGTTATTGGTAATTATTTAGAATAAGAAACTTATAGTAAATCTTCAGTTTACTATATATCCTTACGGGTTTCTTATACATCCTCACGGGTTTCTCCAGTAGCTATAGTAGTATATCGAACTCTTTTATTAACAGAATTTAAAATTGGCTCAAATTTTTTCTGGAGTTTTATACGTTGTAGATAAATGAGAGCACATATTAAAACAATGAGCAGAAATGATAAAAAATAAAGTGCCACTGTAGTTCCTTTTTTAGACATTCTTAATCTTAGAGAACAATTAGCAGTTTCATGAATTTTCTGTTGCATTCCATCTGGAAAAGAAGATAACATAGAAAAATCGACTAGTGCAAATTTTAAATAAGATAAACGCGTGATCTTAGCTATCTAAGAGGTTTAAAAATATTATTTATCTTAATTACCTTCTAAACATTGTAAGCTGCTCTTATTTCTTATGAAAGCTTTGGTCTTGTTCATCCATTTAATAAAGGGATTAAGTTTACAGGAACACACAAATGGATTTTTTGAGAAATCCACAGTGAATGACTGATTCTGTTTAACGAGCGTTTCCATAACACGAATATCATAATCTAAGATGGTCGTAAATTTATTCCGTTGAAGATCCAAAAAACGTAACTTATGAAGGCAGGACAGATTGAAATGCAGTCCAGTCAAAGCATTGTCTCCTAAATGTAAATCCAAAAGATTCGGTAGATCACAGAAAACGTTTGCATCTCTGAACTCTGATATCTCATTTTGCTCCAAATGCAATTTCATGAGTTGAGTGAGATTGCTGATGAGATAAGATCTATTTAGTCGTTATTTAAAAAAAAAAAAAGAAAAAAAAACGAAGAGGAGAAAAATGAAGAAACATTAAGAGTCAAGATTTCTACCTATTAACGAATATATCATGAAGAGTGGCCGCTAGATCTCTTGGTTGACCATCCTCGAAAGCGTCTGTTAAATGCAACTCTAAAAGAGATACGAAGTTGGAGAACACTCTAGGATGACTTCTACCAGGGTCGAGTGAAAGCTCGTTAAAATCAAGAATAAGACGTTCCACTTGTTTAACATGATGATAAGCTTTTCCACGAATTTCCCGAATTTTATTATTAGACATATCGATTACTCGTAAATATGGCAATCTGTCCAACGTGCCGAATATGTTCCATGGTAATTCTTTGAGATTGTTACCCGTAAATATTAATACCTGTAAAAGAGAAATAAAAAAAAAGGTCATCAGGCCAATATATATATATATATATATATATATATATATATATATATATATATATATATATATATATATATATGCACACATAAAAATAGATACTTTAAAATTAGACAATAAAAATCAGAAAGACCTGAGTCGCATTAGGAAGATGTTCCAGTGGCATGGTATCGTAAAATTCTGAATTCGTACAATTCACGACATATTGGTGATGACCGTTGTAACATGTCCTTAAACAATGACAACGATTTTTAAAAGCATCTCCGCAATTATGTATCGAACTTTCATTAGTCTCAAGATTGTGCCAGTTAGGATCATTGCAATCAATTTCTGCCAAAGCCATGATCGTCATCGACAGTAAAATAACAACTGTTAGGTACGAGGTATCCATCGTGATCTTAAAAAATAGAATATGTGATTAAAAAACATGTAAGAGATAATTGCGACGATAAACAAAAGAAATTAATAATAATAATAATTATTATTAATTTTTAATTAATAATAATAATAATTATTATTAATTTTTAATTAATAATAATAATAATTATTAATATAAATAATAATAATAATTATTAAAATAAATATTAATAATAATTATTAATATAAATAATAATAATTATTATTATTATTAAAAAAAGAGGTAACATAAAAGAAAGTTAAGTGGAATGCATAAACTTTTGTACCATTGTTCGCATCGATGAATCATAAAAAAATAGAAGTATAAAAAAACTTACGCATGTCACGTAACTAATGAACTATTTTCGATAAAGGGCGATCGAAACCGTTCTGTTCTTTGATCGCTGATCACTGGTTTTTTAAAATCGTTTGGATGTCTTCATTATTTTCAAGAATAATCTTCGATTAAAGAGAGAATCTTAACACTTCTTTGCAATGCATGCTTATCATATTTCTTGTTTATTCGATGCTGAGATAGGAACGTCTCTTTTTCTTTCCTTCTAGAATGGTACCGTCAAAGAAAGTTTTCGTGGAACTGGATTACAAAGAAAAAAAAAAAGGGAAAAAAAAGAAAGAAAGAACCAAGAGAAAAAAATAAACCTCCTGGTGTATATCTGGGTCGACTAAAAACGATACGTAAGAAGATGGAAGCGCGAGGAAAGCGTAGTGAAACTGGTCAAGAGAAGCACGAGACACGGCACGTAGCATCGCCGAGCCGCACTTGGGTCCGACCGCACCTGTGGGCCCACTGGCCGCCCACTTTTCCACTTACCCCCACTTACCGCGGTCACCAAACACCTACCGACTATAAAGGGGACTTTTTATCTTGCTCTCATCTACGGCTTATTCATCTTCTATTTTTTGTTCTACAGGAAACGAAGAAAATATATCTTGATTCCTTGGAATCCAACTGTTTTGTTTGTGAAAACTGACTATTTTAATCGTTAAATTATTTTAATGTTTTTTAGTTATTTCTTTTTAAGTTTATTTATCACTTTAATTACTTCTAATCACTTGGTCGTAATGCATAAACAGCGAACGCGTAGATGTCTAAAAACGAACGATGAAATTACAATATTAAATATTTTTCATGTTTTTTTGAAAAATGAAAGTGTATGTGTGTATATATATATTTATTATAGCGGAAATAATCCGAAATTCAACAGCAATGATTTTTTTTATATTAGTTCGTATAAAAGATAATATCTTTTCGTTTTTACGTATAAAAATTCATCATTATTTTTTAAAAGCGCGAATGGTATATGAATTGTTAAAAGAAGCAGATGTGTAAACGGGATTTATTCGACATTGGACTCGTATAGTTCCTTATTTGTACATACATATGTATCACTGTATGAGTCATATAGGGATGAATATTCGTGAAGATTCCTCGTATGGATCGGTAAAGATTTGTATAAAGATAACGTAACCATACGTGAATTATTTTATAAGTATTTACATACTGAGGAATATTAAATATATCCATATAAATAAGTAAATATAAACGATGGAAACATATATTATTTATCCATATACATCTATCTTATATTATTATCAAAGTGGAATGAAATGCATGAACAAAGAAATTTCCACATATTTTTGTATATATTATATTTATAATTTTAATAACAACGGCTATGATTTCTCTGTTTATCAATTTTATAATGATTATTTTGTTATGAATTTAACATTTTTTATAAGCTATGAATATTTTGTCGCATATAATCTATACATATACTTATAATGTGCATTTATGCTCGCAATGAGTAAATTTTTTTGGAACAAATTGGAAGAAAATTATGGTAAATAATAAAAACTTGGCAGTAACTGCGATAATTACGAGTATATAAAGAAAAATTAGAATATTAATTATCGTGAATATATATATATAATTAATAGTTCATGGATAATGCATATACACACGTAACTTATTGTTAGTTTAGATTGTGAAGTTATTCGTTATATAAATTGAACGTAATTATGAACACATAAATGAGTTATTTTTCTACATCTTTTATACTATTGCCAATTATGGATATATATTTATATATATATATCATATATGGAAATATATTTGCATATTAAACTTCTTTTTGTTTTGGTATATATAGTACACGTTCTTGTTGCTTAACTTAAGTTCTAAAAATATAAATTAAGCGCTTAATTAAATTTCTGACGAATCTACAAAAAAGTATAAGATCATGATTTTTTTCTATAATATACAATAGCGGAGAATACATTTAGCATTATTACTAAAGTGTTAACGATAAGAGTTACGCGCAAAAACGTATATTAATAAAGCAAATTATTTTTCTTTTTTGATAATCATTAACAATTTACAATTAAACCACTGTGGACTAGACTCTGTGGGTGTTACACTATGTCTATATTTTGATTTGAAACACATGCATTCTCGCGCGCACACATACGCGACACACACACAACACATACACACACACTATAAGAGACAATCGAAATTTTTGCTTGTATTTGTACCATGTTCATCACCAAGGCAGTGCATGCATGATTCTTGCTTAAACTTTTTCATGTGTATTTCAACAATAAATAATATCTGTCAATGTCTTTGATTCGCGCAACGCCCCACATCGTCTATTTATTCATTTGAGAAATATATGTTTGTACATGCATGTACGTACATATGTATGTATGCATATATGTATGTATGTATGTATGTATATGTATATATATATATATATTAAAATCGATACCAATCTTTTTTGGTGTATGACTTTGGCCTGAAAAAAGCATACGATGCGTAGGTACTCTAAACATTACATAATTTCTATGTTCTTGAGCATTTATTAAAATATGCGATCTTAAAAATCACACAACGTAAATCTAACTAAATTCGGAGATTCAGTGCAGTTGAGATTTTATCGTTTCAGTCGTTTTGAACCTATTCTCTAATCTCATAAAAGTTATTAAACAAGTAAATGTAAATAATTACGACATTGAAGTTCTTACAAAGAAAAAAGGAGAAAAAGAGAATTAAAAAATACATGAAATACAAATACAAATAAAATCGTAATACATTCTCATAAATACGGAGAAGTTTTGTGCAATACGAATTCGAACATCGTTGATATTGTGTGCCATTAAAAATGATACCGATTTCTTCGCATTATCGTAAATAAATTTACGATTCCCTATCCTCAGAAATTTCTTATAATCCATTAAATTATTTCGATTTGTCTTTCGAGTGGTTCTCTTTATGCGTTAAGAATTATACGGGAGAAAGAATGATATAAAATGATATCGATCGATCTTGGCACAAAGTAGAACAACGATATCAGTTATTGCGTTTGAATATTATATGGAAAAATTGGACGAAGAAGGACCCTGAATACAAAACGCAGATCATTTTAGGCTTTATATCTATCCGACGTTCCGCTTGCACAGCATAAAATCAAGGCAAATATCAAACCAAGAAGTTCAAGGATACCGACGGCTATCGCAACGCCGATTACAATACAACTTTGACTCTTCAATGCTTCCACCAATTTGTCTATGCATCCCTGAAATTATAAATGATAATTAGCACATCGTAAGATGCTTTTTCTCATCAGACTAACGACAGAGAGATGATACTTTACCTGTGGATCATTAAATAATAAAAAAAACAACAATATTCTAAGTTACCTCGTTATATATAGCAGGGCTAACTATATCTGCTATTTTGAGATTACGAGCTAACTCGCAAGCTACACTGTCCTTATCCTTGCAACAGGATTTCGGTACTTTGTACGCATTGTTCGACTTCGATGAAACAGTTAAACTAAGAGGAATGGAAGAATCGAAATTGGCATATACACTGCCAGCCCAATCAGCTGGTCCCGTAGCTCCACAACATCCAAGACCCGATTGAAAAGCATCCACTGTTTGAGTACGAACATCGACGGATCCATACTCCTTCTAAAAAAGAAAAAAAGTACGTATTATAAACGTCAATAAAAAAGGAAAAGAATTGAAGAAATAATAGATACCTTAACGGTGTTGATTACAGATGATTTGACGAGCTCTTCGAGACGCTCACTGTTGGTATAGAGCCAAACACCAGCGGCAATTTGTGCAACTATTACGACCAATAGACAACTGAAAAAGCCTACGAGCATACATTGAGATTCACGAAAGGCTCCGCAACATCCAAGGAAGGCTACCACAAGCATAACGAGTCCAGCAGCTAGCAAGATGTAAAGGCCTGCGTTGAAATTGTGTTGTTCTTGTGCCAAGGACACGAGAAAGGTTTGATCGGTTAACATCCATATCGCCAGGACCACTGCTGCTAATCCAACCGCCTGAAGAGAATCGAAAGGGAAAAAAAAAGAAACGAATTACTCCTCTCGGGAGATAGAATAGCAATGACGTAACGAAAAAGAAAAAGGCTCACCAGTAATAAGAAAAATATGTAAAAAAAATTTGTATATCTTGTTAATATTTATTACTTTTTAATATATGTGATCAAGCCAATATTTCTGTTGGATAGATTTATTATTCTAAGTATATTCTACTTATCTATGTCATACTTCAATACTTCCTAACCTCTCATGAAACTAGGTTAGAGCGTAGGCTGGGAGCATATTCGTTGTATGACGAGAAGCCTATATTTAAACGTGTTTATGTTTATAAATAAAGATTTCGTGAAGGCGAAATAATCGTGAGAAATAAATAAAATGTTCATTTTGTATGCATTCCGATAAGTAGCAGGATTTCATTGAGATGCGGTATTATATACCTTTCAAATGCAAAAGAAGAAAAGAAAAAAAATAAAAAAGAAAAAAAAACAGAAAAAGAAAATGCGAATAAGAGTAGAGTAATATTGCAAAATGAGTTTTCGTTGAGCCCAGATGTAATCAATACAGCTGCGCTAGAATTACTCCTGCCGGGAGATAGAATAGCAATGACGTAACGAAAAAGAAAAAGGCTCAACGGTAATAAGATTATTATTTCATGATATCACGAATGAAAAAAATATTTATTGCTTCTTATTCATTTTCATCTACTTCATCATCTTTATCGCTTAGTGATATTAAAATGAGTCACAATAGTATTTCCGGCACATAAGACGATGATGATTTCGATTAATTATTACGTAGTACGGTAACGTAATCCATTTATTTTTTTTCTCTATACTTTAGCCATATGTATTTCTTTTAAATGGATCTATGTACTATCCTAAAGAAAGAGAAAAAGGAATTTCCATTAGAATTATGTACGTGACCTGAAACCTGACTCTTACGAGGAAGTCTCTGCACCAAAGGACTGCCCATTGACGGGTTTTATCGAACGAAAGGAACTTTTGAAAGAGGAAAAAGGAAAGAAATAAACAAATGAATAAAGAGAAACAGATGTTGGGGTCTGCGTTTGACTGAAAGCTCTTTTAAAAATGAAAAATAATGGAAAAAGAATAACACACGTAGTGTTGCATATATATACGCTTGACGACCCATTTCAACGTAACATGTTTGTCTTTTTTGCTCCCCTTTTATTTTATATACATATTACATATATAATACATCTATGTATTTATTTTTTCTTTTTTCTGTAGTTTCTAAAGCTTTTGTTCTTT